CCCAACAGTCTTCTGGGTGCCCTCTATCCCCAACTTTAGCCAGCTAGCATCAGGTAACCTTGGGATGCAAACCAGGAACCTTTCTATATGGCTTCGGCATGTTCAGAGCTTTGTGTTACCACTGCAACATCGCAGCTGGCCTAGACTTTATTTCTGTGTGTGTGTGTGTCTGTGTTTTAAGGCTGAAAGAAAGACGAGTTTCGTTGTTTATACGACATGGGAAATTATAGTGGGGCTGAACAGAATGAATAATAGCCATGATGTGGTAATGATAAGAGGGATTCAAGTCTAAGAGAGAAGTGTGACAGTGGGACACAAATCTCCAGCCTAAAAACCAATCTAAGCCTCACACAGGAAATAGAGACCATCACCTCCAAATTGACAAGGTGAGAAACACAAGTCAGCCTGAGGACAGTCTGGAGGTGGTGTGTGAGGGAAGTTGATGGTCGTTTTCTGATTCCATAATTTTTCTGGTGACATAGAAGACAAGCTGATATTTTTGGAAAAGACCTTGAAAAAACATGGATGAAAGACAACTGAGAAGCCCAAGTTTAAAATGAGAGACTCTTGTTTTGTACTGACCAGTTCTAGAGTGTCGTGATTTTCTGCAGTATTGTTCAGTTGTGCCTTTGCAGGACGATGTCTGAGTAATACAGGGTTGAAATCTGGTTCCCCAGGAATGACAGGACAGTCTGTCAGGGAGCTGGGGAGATAGTGAGTCCAAGCTGAATAGAAAAGAAAGTGAACAAGGCGAGGGGGTGGGGTGGGGAGCAGATTCCTGAGAGAAAATACAGGAAGACAGACATGTATGTTTGTTTTAAAAGAAAGTATGAAGGAGCGTGAGATTATGCAAGAGGCTGAAGGAATGAGTGTGCTGTCAGGGAAGAGCATGGATTTATAGATTTTTGACATGGAGTAGTTCCAAGTATCTGTTTTGGGATTAAGGAAAGTGAAGCAGAAGAGAAGAAAAACTCAAGATTTGAGAAGTTCAAAGGACTTTGAGATTGGAAGTAAATACAAGGAGACTTCACCGAGTTCCTAGAAAAATGGAATTAAAGTACAAGTAATTTTGGTGCAAAAATATTTTGAGATCTATGCATTTTTAAAAATAATATGCATTTTCTATGAAGTTTTTTGTAAGCCTGTTCTACATATAAACACCAAAAATCACTCAGGATAGTAGTGACACTTTGAGCAAAGTTTTCAATGGGCGGAGAGAAGAAAGGTTAATATTTTAATTTTTTTTTTTTTTCCTTCTGAGGTCGAGGGGTCAGACAGTCCCTATAGGAGGGCAGATACTTTATATCCTAAGAGGAGAAAAGAATTTCAGTTTTGACAAAGAGGTACAGGAAACATTTTGTTCAAGGGCTGAAAATATGAAAGAGTTTATTTCATATGAAAAAGGGGTTTTAAGAAGCAAAGAGAAAAGGCTTAGGAGTATAACTCTTGTGTGTGTGTGGGGGGGAACAACAAACAAACCCAGAAAAACAATTTAACATTTATTAAGGCAGTGTTTCCCGGACTTGCCCACACAACCCTTGTTTGCCTAGCACCTATTAACCTCTTACAGAGGTTGTGCTGTCTGGAGAACAGCCCAGAGAGCACTGGCAGAGCATTCGGGAGTGTGGGGCAGGAAGGTACCCCGCAGTGGAATTGCTGCCAACTCACAGCATACTCAACTCTTAAGGTATCTGCAAGGCAGTGCTCGGATAAGGAGAGCGAGCCTCAAGGCCACCCAGTTTGTTGAGTTTTAATTCATGTCCATTCGTCATTTCAGTGTAGGTTAAGAATTCCATGAAATCAGGGGCAGTTATGATTCTTCACATCTCCACATTTGGCTTATTATTGAGTACACTTATAAATGCTACTTGAATATTTCGTTATATTGAGATGCATTCGATGAGCAAAAGCCATATTTGGAGCATAGAGATTGTGCCCTACTTCTTTCTGTCTTTGGGGGAGATTTATTTTCCTCTTGGGCTATTTGTTTTTGGAGAGTTTTTTTTGTTTGTTTGTTTTTGTTTTTGTTTTTTTTTTTTGCTATAAGGCAAAGTACGCTCACCAGATAGACAGAAAGTGAGGAATCACCACCCGGGGGGGATGTCTGTGCCGCAATCCCTTCTCCTCCATTTTCCTCTTGGGATCTTGGGCACACATGCACACGCGCCCAGTGTGAGTTTAAGTCACCGGGTCTGGGACTCAAACTGCGATCAGCTATATGGGAGTTCAGCGACATAGCCATTATGCTAACTGCTGGTCCCTCTTCCTCTTGGGTTTTTAAACTGATGTTAAATACCCAAATATTGTCAGAGCTCACTGAAGTTTTAATAATAATTTTTGGTTACATCTTTTAATATTTCATGTTACTATATGCTTTCTCTTTTTGGTAACTATTAGTTAGGTCCTGGACACAGAGAACCCAAAAAAGAATATTTGACATTGCAGATTGACATTGAAATATGAAGTTGTTGGAAAAGTCATGACATAGTTTTTCTGTTTCTCCTGTGCAAAAAACCTTCATGACTTTTCCTAAAACCCAATAGTTCTCCTAAGTGCTGAAAGTAAATAAAATTAAGAAGAAATAGTAAGGACAATTTGAGAAATACGCAGCTAATTTATTTATTTAAAATTTTTTTCCCAAAGTAAAGTTTTAAAAAATAGTAGTATTTGATTAAACAAAAAATGTTACAAATTTTAGGAAATTCTCCTTGAAAATTATTTAATTCGATTAGATAGTATAGTAAATGTGGTAGGCCAGCCAGTGGCATGCTGGTTAAGGAGCTGAATTCCACATGGCTGACTGCGGTTTGCGTCCCTGGACTTGGTGGCTTGAGGATCATGCTGGGTGCATGTGTGTGCATACCCAAGGTCCCAAGGTCGCTAGTTTCTTATGACTGAGCTAAACGTGGACAGTGAGATGCCTTGCTTTTGTTCTCCTGGCTTTCTTCTCATGGAATGCTGTTATTTCTCTCCATCACTAAAAACTCTCAGTCTTATTTTTCATTGAAGGCCCAATTAAAATACTACAGCTGGGGCCAGCAGGTGGTATGGTGGTTAAGGAGCTGGTCTCCCACATGGCCAACTGCAGTTTGAGTCCCAGACCTGGTGGCTTGAAAATCATGCTAGCATGCAAGTGTGTGTACCCAAACCCCAAGAAGAAAATGGAGGAGAAAGAATTGTGGTGTGGCTGTCCACCCAGGGGGTGACCTCTCTCTCACTTTCCTTCTCATTATCTCTGTCTCTTTCTGGCAAGTGCTTATGCCCTATGGCAAAAACCTAAAAAAACAAAACCAAAAAAACAAAAAACAAAAAAACCAAAAATGGAAGTGGTGACATGTTGAAAAATAAAATTTAGGTATAAATGTAGGATGTATAGAAATGGGCAGAATTTTACTATTTTAAAAATAAAAGTGCAAAAATAATTTATAATATTTATAATTACACAAATGATAGATATACATATATGGTTGAATTTCCAAAAGTCAGAAGCAAATTATATGTGATTCCACTGTGGTATGTAAAAATAAGGATATAAAATGGCTGAGGATAATAATCGAGACCAGTACACTTATGAATTACACTCAGATTTTTAAAGAAATTTAATGTTACATGTCATGAATTTATTAATGCTCTATGAGAGAACTTGTCAGTAACTCTTTCTTTCTTTCTTTCTTTCTTTCTTTCTTTCTTTCTTTTGCGAGAAAAACTAGACTGGTAGAAACTTCTGGTCTGTGGGGTTTTGATATGTGGTCTTGCAGCTAGCAGAGCTGTATTTGTTCTGCTGTTAGGACAGCTCCAAAATGTATTGCTGAGCATTGCCTTCTCTGACAGTGTAGTTTCGCAGTGTACTATAAACTGAGAGTTGAACTGCTAGTCTTTTTTCACTACAGAGATGAGGATACGGAAGCTCAGAGATATATTGTCATAAAAATACCTATACAATCTTCTTCTCAAGAATCTCCAGTGTCTGTAAGAATCCTGGTCTATCATACACATTAGGAATCTTTCTTTCTACTGGTGAGACTTCTTATTGTATTTTTTTTAGGGAGAGATTTTTGCTGTATGGCATGTGTACTTGCCGGAGAGACAGAGACACAGAGACAGAAAGTGAGACATCAGACCCCTTGGAAGGATGGCCATGCCACAATCTCTTCTCCTCCATTCTCCTCCTGGGATCTTGGGCATTCATGCACATGTGCCCAGCGTGAGTTTTAACCCACCGGGTACAGGACTTGAACCATGGTTGACTATGTGAAAGTCCAGCGACTTAATCATTATGGCATCTGCTGGGCCTGAGACTTACTTTTGCCCACAGGTCTTGAAGCTCAGTCTGGTTGATTTAGAGAAATGGGTTTTTCATTTTTTTTCTCTCTATGAGAGAGAAAGAGACAGAGATAGCATGTGAGCAAGAGAGAGAGAGAGAGGAACCCCACAGGATCCTCATGCTGGGATCCACTCCCAGGGTCA